GGTGGGTGGGTGTGTCTTTTTTTTCTTTTGTGTGTGTGTCTCTGTCTGTGTGTGTGTGTGCGTGTGTGTGCTTTCCTGAGCCAGATGATGGCGGATGAGTTCAGGGGATGGGCATTTACGAGAGCTCTTCTTGGTTTGCAAGTGGCAGAGTTGCATGTGTGCGGTGATCCCTCTATGCTTCCGGTAATACGTGGGATTGCGGCGCAAACGGGTGATGATCTGGAAGAACATCAATATGAGCGATTCCGGCCATTAAAGATTGAGACGGTGAGCTCAATTAAAGTTCCCTTCGTTTTCTGTATTCCTGTTGGTTGTATATCCTCTGTGTTTGACAGTCCCATGGCCTTCGATTGGCCTTTGAACCCATTCCTTTATGTTCATTTCAATCATTTGCATTTTATGTGCTCCTTTTTGTACAGAAGAAGCTTTGGAGCATTTCTCGATTCAACGTCAGAAGATTATTCCACCTCTGCCATGCAGAAAGAACTCTTCTCGAGTTATCTTCTGACTCTCCTCTCCTATAATGTCACAATCAGCTATGGCAGATCAACCGAACCACGGCACCTGAGTGAAAATTGTTGAACCTTTCATGTGATCCTCGATGTCTGAAGCATCACAATGTGTGGCCTACCCAGGGCTATTAGCTTATTTGGGCTGGTAGGCCAACTGACCCACAAGCCACTTTTCCACCAGTGGGATCCCTCCAAAAGTTGCAGGGCACGTCCGGTTTGGAGTCGAAGCCCTAAACCTTAAACTCGCGAGCCTCTAAACCTTGTACGGCCCTAATCCCCTAACCCCCTAACCACTGAACGCCCTAAACCCTAAACTGTCGCTGAGAACCAAAAAATGTGGCATTTGATTGAGTGAGAGAGTAGTACAAGTTCGAGATGATTGCTTCTGTGAGACTGTCACTACCAACATGACAAAGTTTTTCGGCCGCGGGCTGTGTCGGTTCACCTGTGATGAACTTCGGCCGTGCCATCAACGATTTTGAGACGTCGGATACGAATCTGACGCGTTTGACGCGCCGTGATACAATCTCGACCGATGATGCATGGATCGTGAGGCGTCCGATACAAAATCTGTAATGTCTGACGCGCCTCAGCCGGGCGCCGTTTCGTTTCTTTTTCTTTTCTTTTTTGTTTTTTTTGTTTTTCTACTTTTTTTGCGTTTCGGGCGGGAGTTTCACTGCTTTCATTTTTCTTTCGCGCCGGCCCTCCGCGCCCGCCCTCCGCCCTCCGCCCTCCGCACCCACCCTCCGCGCTTTGTCCTTCGGATTTCGCCCTCTTCGCCCGCCCTCCGCCGGGCGCCGTTTCGTTTTTGTTTTTTTTTTTGTTTTTCCTACTTTTTTTGCGTTTCGGGCGGGAGTTTCACTGCTTTCCTTTTGCTTTCGCGCCGGCCCTCCGCGCCCTCCGCTCTCCGCACCCACGCTCCGCGCTTTCGCCTTCGGATTTCGCCCTCTGCGCCCGCCCTCCGCGGTTTTGCCCTTCGCCTTCGCCCTCCGCGCCCACCCTCCGCGCAACGAAAGCGCTTTCGCACCCGCCTTCCCGTGCGCACGCACACACACGCAGCTGCCCGCCTGCCCGCGCGCGACCTATTTGCCACTATGTCTCTCTCTCTCTCTCTCTCTCTCTCGCTCTTTTTCTCTCTGTCGGTGGTCCGGCTCCCATGCATTTCTTTTTTTTTTTTTCTTTTTTTTCTTCATTTTTTCATTTTTTCCAGGAAAAAAAAAACCACGTATGAGTGAACAGACAGCCCGGCATATAGTTTTTTCATGGGAGCCTCTCTCTCTCTCTCTCTCTCTCTCTCTCTCTCTCTCTCTCTCTCTCTCTCTCCCTGGCGCCCCGGCATATAGTTTTTTTCTTTTCTTTAAAGGCTAATTCTTTTAAGCCCAACCAATTCAATTACCCGTCGAATCTGGACAGGATGGCCTTTCAGGCCTTTTTTATTGTCATTATAGTATTACGGGGAACCCCGTAGCAGCCACATTCGTGCTCAAGCCTCCAAYGAGGGAACATGCGGGAGCTGCACCCACTAGCAGGTTTGTCATTATAGTATTACGGGGAGCCCCGTAGCAGCCACATCCGTGCTCAAGCCTCCAACGA